AAAGGAAGGATTAAGTAAAGTAAGAAAAAGGAAAGAAGAAAAAACAATAGTAGTGCTAGAAGATTGAAATGGAATTTTCGAAGAATTTAGTTTGTTTATTTTAAAATACGCTTTTAATTTAACGTAATTATTTTTATTTTATTATTTTTTTTTTCTAGTTTTGTTTTGTTTATTTATACTTGTTATTATTTTTATTATTATTGTTATTATTATTATTATTTTTATTATTATATATCTATATAGTTTGTTAACTTAATTACTTTAGTTTTAGTTTTACTTATTAACTTATAATACTAAGTATAAACTTTATAGTTTATTATTATATACTTTCACTTATTATAACTACAAAATTTTACTTTTATTCATTCAATTTTTTATTATTTAAATTTAATTTATTTTATTTTATACTTATAACTTATAATTTAACTAATTATAACTTATTTTTACAATATACTTACGTTATTCTTCTCTAACTTTATTAATAGTATTATTTTCACTATTTGTTTTAAATGTTAAATAAATATTATTTTTATTTTATTATTTCATTAATTGAATTAAATTTATATTATTAATAAATACTATTATTATTTTAAATATTTTTGGTTATATTGACGTTCATATTACTGTTTGTAGCCTTATTTCACTTCAATCATTTCATTTTATAAACTGTACTACTTAAATGTCTACTCACTGCAAAGATTGATTCAAGCAAATTAATAAAAACCATCATTGTCTAAACCTTTTTTATAAAAAAAGCTGTCGTCTGGAATTTAGGATATTGAAAACCTCTAAAACATCTTGGTTCTGTATTTCATGTAGGAAATATGTTTTTTCATTTAGTTCTTTATCTGATAAGGAGCTGCGTCTGCAAACAATAAATGATAAAGTGATTCATATTATTGAACTCTCTAACAACATATCATTTTTTCCAAATACCGTAGAGTCTAATCTTTATAATGAACTTAATGATTCCATTTCCCATCAACTTAATAACAACAATGACAATGACGTAAACCTTGAAGAAAACCCTATTAATTGTATATATATCGAGATAGAATGTTTCAACTCTGCCAACATCGACAAAAATAGTTTTTCTCTTTTTCATTTAAATATTGCTTCAATTGTTAAAAATTTTGACGAATTAAACTCACTTTTATCTCTTGTTAACCATGATTTCAGTATTATTGGCATAACTTAAACTAAATTAAAAAATTGACATCCTACCAACTATCCCATTAAATCTTACCGGTTATGTTTATGAGCACACTCCGACAAAAATTTTTTTTAGAGGTGGCTTACTTTATATATCTAATACATTAACTTACAAACCTCGAAATGATCTTTACATGTTTAAACCAAAGTTTTTAGAATCTGTGTTTGTGGAAATCATATTTCGTAAAAAATCAAACATCATTTTTGGCTGTATTTATCGCCATAGAATAGATATTTCAGAATTTATTAAATCATATTTAATTCCACTTTTTGAAAAGCTATCGATGGAAAAAAACAAAACTACTTTTTTAATGGGTGATTTAAATGTCAATCTTTTATTAGCAAACTCAGATAATTATGTCTCTGAATTTTTAGACACCATTGCTTTAAATAACTATTTTCCCTTTATTTCATTGCCAACAAGAATCGCGAATCACTCCAAAACTGTAACAGATAACATATTTTCTAATGCAACTTCTACAAAAATTTTTGCCGGTAATTTTACTTCTAGGGTCTCAGATCATTTACCCCAATTTTTAATACATCCATTTTATAGAGCCAAAATTAATCCTCGCAAAAGGTGTATTTGTTGTCGGAATTTAAAAATATATAAATTACAAAGATTAATGTTGTGATTTCTCAAAAACTAACTGAACTAATGTAATCAATCTCAATGAAGGTAAGACTAATAAGTCATTTGAAGATTTTTTCACAAATGTTAATTTTTTTTTAGATAAACATGCACCATTAAAAAAAAGTCAGCAATCGCTGCTTATAAAGGGGTATCAAACCTTGGATAACACGAGGAATCTTGACTTCAATTAAAATACAAAATAGAATATTTTATAAATTTCTTAAAGCAAAGAATCCTAATAACAAACCCAATCTAGAAAAATCTTATAAAACATATAGAAGCTTACTTGTTACTCTCACCCGTCGTAGTAAAATGAACCATTATTCTAAGTTCTTTTCAGGTAATGCCAAAAATTTGAAATCTACATGGGATGGTATTAGGAATCTTTTAAACATTAGTTCAATAGTTAATTCATATCCTTCCTACTTATTTTCTAACAACTCCATGATATACGACTCCGTTAAAATTTCTGAATCTTTTAATCCATTCTTTGTTTCAGTTCAGGAAGAATTACAGAAAAATATTTACTCATCCAATACTAACTTTAATAAATATCTTAAAAATCCTAATCTTAAATCAATATTCATAAAACCTACAGAAAAAACGAAGAATTTTCTACTATTCATTCTCTTAATGACAGCTTCAGGACCTAACAGCATTCCAATACTTATTTTTAAAACTCTTGCAAATAATCTCCTGTACTTTTTGAACTTATTAATCTGTCATTCATCACCGGCGTATTCCCTGATATTTTAAAAGCTGCTTCTATTATTCCAATTCATAAAAAATACTCTAAACTTGAATTTAATAACTACAGACCAATTTCATTATTATCAAATGACAGCAAAATTTTAGAAAAACTTATGCATTCTCGTATTTACAACTTTTTGAATAATTCTGCTTGTTTTCATATTCGACAGTTTAAGTTTTGCTCAAATCACTCCACTTCTCATGCTTTTTAGCATTACTGAAATAATTCGCATTACTGAAATAATTCGTGGCGCAATTGATAGTGGTTCCTTTGCTTGTGGTGTATTCATAGATCTTCAAAAAGCTTTTGATACGGTTGATCAAAACATTATAATAAAAAAGTTAAACTACTACGGAGTACGTGGTATTGCTAATCATTGGTAATCTTCATATATTACGGATCGCACTCAGTTTGTTTCAATTGATGGATATAAAACCACACATAAAGTTATTAAATATGGCGTTCCACAAAGTTCCGTTCTTGGACCGTTATTGTTTTTATTATATATAAATGATTTATCTTGTTCATTAAAAAATTCATAATGGTACATCATTATGCTGATGTTACCGATCTTTTGTATATCAACAAATCACTTACAACTCTTTTCAAAAAATCAAGATTTTCATCGCTTATGTAACTGGTTAATTAGTAATCGTATTTCCTTGAATGTCAATAAAACTAAATACATTATTTTTCATTCCCCTCGAAAAAATATTAATACCATTAAAATTAAAATTAATGGAAAAAAAATTTTCCTGTCAAAATATATAAAGTATTTTGGAATATATCTTGATGAAAACCTATCTTGGTATAATCAAATGTATCATCTTAAAAAAAAAATTTACGCGAGCTAACAGTATGCTTTCTCTAACTCGTTACTATGTTCCTATCCAAACTCTTCGAGTGATTTATTCTTCTTTATTCTTTTTTCACCTTCGCTATTGTTGTATTCTTTGGGGTCAAGAAACCTTTTACTTAACAGTATTGCTAGTTTACAACGCGCATCTATTAGAATAATGACGTTTTCACGAATGAGATCTGATATCCAAAAAAAACTCCATGATCTTGTAAAGTTTTACAATTGTCTTTTTGCTCCAAAATAAACTACCAAACTCTTTTTTTAACTTTTTTTTATTAAAACAAATGAAATTCATGATCATCACACCAGAAATATAGAAAATAGTAATCTATACTCTTCTATTTTCAACACAATTAAACATGGTAAGTTTTCCATAAAACAACATTGTAATTCCGATTGGAACCAGTGTATTCCTGTATTAATAAGAAAAGTCTGAAAAAAAATATCCCCTTGTTACGGATTATTTTTTGCTCAACAGAATTCAATTTAAAAATATATTGTTAGAGTGTATTTCTTTATAATTTATCTCTGTACTTTAGTTGTCTTTATTATATAATTTCTTTAACGAGCAAGTGGTTTGATTTTTGCTTTATTTATTATTTATCTATATTATATTGCTAATTTTGCTACTTTTAATTTTTATCTATGATATGTACAAAGAATTTATATTGTATTATAAATATTTTTAATATTATTGATACTTTATTATTATTGTTATTTTAAACTTTTTTTTTAAGGTACTCGTTTCTTTTTTTTCTTTTTTTTTTTTTTTTTTTTTTTTTATTTCTTTATTTCTTTTTTTTTTCGAGAGTTTTATGTTTTTTAGGTATCACTCCATTGGCTAGTTTGTAACTATATGAATGACACCTAACCAAATTCTATTAATTTACGATGACATTTGTAAATTTTTATTGATACGGTTGAAAAAAAAAAAAAAATTAAAAAATAAAAAATAAATCAAGAGGTTTTTTGCCAGCTTTAACAATTATACTTTGCAAAAATAGCAGGATAAACTTCCACGTTAATGGCTCTGCCACTGTACATTGTGATAAGAAGGTTAGTTCTTTTTGGACACTGTAAGAAGCTAAAAAATATGATTTTTTACCTTATGTACATAAGCTTTAAATTTTCTAATATTTGGAAGAACCACATTATTTAATATCTAACCGAAAAATCTAAACGGTTAGTTTAACTCGATTTATTTAAGTCTCACTATTGTTAAAACATTTGATAATATTGTGATTTACAAAGGAAACAAAAATATAACAAAAAAAATGTTACATTTAAACAGCGCTATGTAGAAACATTACTAATCAAATTTTCATAACAAACTCGAAACAAATAATCAAAGAGAGTTTGTGTAAAAAGAGGATGTTGAAAAATCAGATCTCTGCACACAGTTAAGATACTATAAACAACATTAGAATTAACAAAAACATGCAATGAAAGCTGTTTAAAGACATTTTAACAATAGTAACGTAAGAAATATACATTTTAATTATCTAGGAAATAACTTTACCTAGCTTTTAGTGTCCTACTTTCAAATCTTTTGTTTAACAAAACCGTTTCTTAAAACGAACGTGTAAAAAATGGTAACGAATTGTTTTTAAACTTGTATAAATACTGATATAAAGTTTTCAAAGTATCAATTCATTTCAAATTCAATACCGGGGACCATTTATATGGAAAGGTTTTTTAAAAAATATAATTAAAAATAAAATTCTTCGAGGCATCTCCTTAGAACAATTCAAAAGAGAATCTAAACGTTTTCTATTAGAAAAAACTTTCGATTTTAAAGATTTCTTCTAAAATCACCTAAAATAATTAAACCTGAAAAAGTCATCACTACTCATTTACTATTGTCTTGTGTATCTTGTTTATTTCTTATTAAAATAAAAAATATATATACTATTAATTTTGAACAGACAAATAACATTTATTCGATTTATTACTTGTGTCTTATATTTGTCGAACTAATATTGTATTGTACTTCAATTTTTAACCTTTTAGTTTTTAACTTGTAACTTTGTGACGTTAATGTAAACGGGGCTTGGTGATAAGACAGTTTATGTCTTCTTCTTGCTCCGGCCAATTTTTATACATGAATGGTTTTTTCTCATTGTAAATTTAATTATACGGCAAAGAAAATATAATAATATAATAATAACAGAGTTTCGTGAAACAGATACAATGAATTCAGTTATTGTCTTTATTGCCCTGATTGGGTTAACTTTTGGACTACCCAGAGGAAAAGTGCAACTTACTGAAAAACAAATTGAAGATCTTGTATCCAAAAACGGACCATTCTCTGTAGGTTTAAACGTGGCTATTGGAAAACTAAACTACGGCAGTTCTAAATACCGGTATGAAAAAAACTAATTAACAAATGTTGAATGTTTGTTTGTTTTTAAAACCATTTGTTCTATTTATTTGTCAATTGATGTAGCTTTTCGCATTTACCTATTTGTCAGATAATGTATCTAAAAAAAATTAAAGTATTTAGAATGTTTTCATTTTTAATTAAAAACATCCCAATCAATAAAGTTGCATTTTTGTAATTTTTATTTAAAAATTACAATTTTTAAATTTTTAAAAAAGCGACAAAATTTAAGTAGTTTCCTTAGTGGTTTTTACATTAAGAGTACCTGATTTTGCCATCTTTAAACACAGACTCTTTTATACACTTTAAGTTTATACACTGCTCCGCGCTACCTAAGTCAGTCAACTAGCTCCCCTTAAAATATAAGTTTATTTATATATATTATTATAACTTATAAAAATATATAAGTTAATTTAATATATTATCCTCTCTCAATTCTATAACTCAAGGAGTTATAGAATTGAGAACACGAACCTTGATCAACAAGGCAGCTGCGCGGAGAAACAAGTTGAGCGCGGCACTACTAGAGACATTGTAGGGATTGAACTCGGAACCTCTTGCTTATGAAGCGAGCACTCTACCACCACGCCACTATCGCGGTGCATAGCTTCTTTATAAATTTGCCCGCAACTGGAAAACATCTTCGCAAAACGGAGATGTTTTGTTTTGTTTTGCAATTACAGTACAATCTCTATAATTCGAACATTATCGGAAAAAATATAAGTTCGAATTAGACTTTTGAATTATAGAAAGTTGACTTTTTACGTCGACATTTCACGGTGACTTAGTATTTAATCGAATTATCGAGATTTTCGAATTAAAGAGATTTGAATTAGAGAGATTGTAATGTATCTCTTATAATCATAAGGTACATAGTCAATGCATTTTTAATATAGTTAGGTGTATCAAAACTACTGTGACCGTACAGAGACAGATGTTCATAAAACTACAATGACAAAAGACAAAAGAATGTACAGAGACAGATGTTCATAAAACTACAATGACAAAAGACAAAAGAATGTACAGAGACAGATGTTCATAAAACTACAATGACAAAAGACAAAAGAATGTACAGAGACAGATGTTCATAAAACTACAATGACAAAAGAATGTACAGAGACAGATGTTCATAAAACTACAATGACAAAAGAATGTACAGAGACAGATGTTCATAAAACTACAATGACAAAAGACAAAAGAATGTACAGAGACAGATGTTCATAAAACTACAATGACAAAAGACAAAAGAATGTACAGAGACAAATGTTCATAAAACTACAATGACAAAAGACAAAAGAATGTACAGAGACAGATGTTCATAAAACTACAATGACAAAAGACAAAAGAATGTACAGAGACAGATGTTCATAAAACTACAATGACAAAAGACAAAATATATATATATATATATATATATATATATATATATATATATATATATATATATATATATATATATATATATATATATATATATATATATATATATATATATATATATATATATATATATATGTATATAACCGATAAAAATTTTTATTTAGACAAGTAAGAGAGAAGATTATTAATGCAACTTCTCAAATTGTTGCAGGTACTCAATATGAAGTTAACATCAAAGTTGTTGAATCGGTTTGTGAAAATTTACCAATTAATTCGAATTTGATGACAACTAAAGAATGTCCTGTTAAAGAGAAACCTGAAGCAAAAGTCTGTAAAGTTTCTATTTGGTACCGTCCTTTTCTTATTCAAACAATGGATTCCTTAGTTGTAAACACCTCATGTAAACTAGAATAAAAAAATTTTAACTTTAAACTACACTTACATTTTTTAAAATTTTTAGTTTCAATTATTTTTATTAATAAACTTACTTTTTCATTATACTTTAAAATAAATTAGAAAGTATTGTGACTTACACAGAATGTATACTAATAATAAATAAATTGTGGTTAGGCGACAAAACCTTTTGTTCCTTCTAAGGTAAATGGTTTACTAAATTAAATCAAGCAGTTATAAACCATAGTTAAAATGAAACAAATCATTTCTTTAAAACTTTAAAATCAAAAAATCTTGATAAACTTTTTGCTATTGTAGTAACAAATAAATTTCATGTATGGAGAACGAAGTAGCAATTGTCCTAGTCATGAGGTGTAACTTATTTTATATTAGAGCTGGAGAAGCTCTTTAAAAAATAAATCAATTTACCTAAAGAAGAAAAAGTTATAAAACTAAATTCCCAAGAACGAACTTGCAAAACTTTTTATTCTTTCTAGTGTATTTCAGTAAAACTTCTATATCCTGATATGCAAAACAGGTTTACTCCTGGTAAGGAATTCTGTTGTAAGAAAATTGGTTTAAATTTTCTATAAAAGCAAATTTAAATAACAAAATCGTGGAGCTATGGATATAAAACATAAATAAAAAATTGTCATAAAGCGTAAATAAAAAACAGCACTTGATGGGAAAAATGATTTCCAAATTTTTAAATAATTTAACGTAGAAAGCTTTATAAATGGCTGAAATGCTTGGCTTGGAGTTAAAATAACATTGAGATCCACATGGGGCCTAAGTAAGCAACTTTATGGGGTCCAAATAGGTTGCCCACATCCCGCCCAAAGAAAATTGTCGTGAATTGAGACCAAAGTGGGCAGCCAACTTTGGCTTCTTCCATGTGGGACCCACATGAGTCCCACTTTTTTATTTATTTAAATTTTGTTTAATATTTTGAATAATTATTTATTTAATTTTAAATTAGATATATATATAATTTAATTTGTAGTCGTGAATATATGACTTAAGTCTGGCTTAAAGGCGAGTTTCCACTTAACCTTTTTTTCACGGGAACGGGAAAGGGACGGGAAAAATAATCACGTCGGCATGCGTAATACTAGGTATATGCGTAAAACTAGGTATTGTGGTTTATCCTCCTCCAGCTAATTGCCATACGGAGGCCACATTACCAAGGACTGCAAAGACAAGTTCAGCTAATAAATAGCGTCATTACCTGCTCTACGGACCAAGAGTAAAGTAAGTTTAGGAAGAACAAAGAATGTTAGAGTAAAAGACAGAAGAAGTCGTGTTAGAAAGATAGCATACAGAAAGCGGACAGGATTGCACACGATGTTAAGAAGGTGCAATTTAATTAAATACTTATTATAATTTAAGTATTTAATTTTTTTTTATTTAAGATATAATTATTTTTACATAATAATTATCGTTGACCTTTTTAAGACGTTTCATTTTATATACATTTTTGGTTGTGGGTTTATAAAAACTCAAATAGCGTAAACACTTTCAAAAACCTTTTTATACATTAAAAAAAAAAATTTCCGTTGTTTAAAACTGACTTAGTAACTTTTTTGTTTAAGTTCTCTTTAATGTTTAAAAAAATAATTTTCAAATACAATTCAAAACTCTTTTACTGCTTTTTAAATAATCACTTTTTAAATAAACACTCACTATCGCGCCATCGGAAGGCATTTAAATTTAGAAAATATGATGTAATTTAACGTTTTTTTAACTACATATATGGGCCCTAAATAGCCCCCATGTGGGCTAGCCCTTGAATACAAAATACTTTGTATTCAAGCACAAGTTCACATGGAACCCATTTTGGGCCTATATATAAACCCCACGTAGGGCCCACTTGGGCAAACCCATATGGGCTTCAATAGGACATGTTCGCTGAGACAAAAGTTACAACTAATAAAATAACATAAATAATAAAACAAATGGCTGAAGCAAGAAGAAGACATCAGTTTGTCTTACTACCGAGCCCCATTGTGACTTCATTAAAGGTCGTTTTTTACAATAAAATATATAAAATCGTGATAAATGCTTGTGATAAAATATATAAAAATGTGTAAAACTACGTTTCACAATTGATATAACTGCTTATATATAAATTCGTATTGTAAACTAAATTTAGAACAAGTAAAAGTTAAAGCAAATAAAAGAAATAAATTGTGCTAGTTTATATTATTTTACTAAAAAAGAAAATTTAAGTCTGTTAATAATAAAAAAACGCTTTGATTCAGATTTAAAGTGTTCAAGTGTATTATTTTTGATAGTAACAATCTGGGGAAAAAATTTCCACAAATAATGTCCGCGGTGTTGGATTAAGTATGAATTTAACTTTAATGTAAATTTTGGGATGATAAAGTTTTTATATTAGAATCTAGTAGGATATTTATGACTTATTTCTCTAAAATAGGGTTGAAATATCGGCGGAGAGTCCATAATTTATTTTTACATAAACTGTAAAACAAGATGTATGTTAATTTTGTTTATATTCAACGCTCCAAGTTAGCATAAGAGAGGTTCACATGACACTTTTTTACTTACTCCAAAGACAATTCTACAGGCATGTTCGTGTTTACTGTAGAGTTTTTTAAGCTAAGTACAATTTGTGCTTGCCCAGGCTATATTACCATAGCTTAGGTGACTATGTATTAATGAAAAGTATAAAATTTTATGGAAATGATATTTAGGAAAGGTTTTGCTTTATAAATTAATGAAATATTTCTTGAGAGCTTTCTCTCTACAGTCTTTATATAGAGCTTCCACGACAAATTTTCATCCAAGACCACACCTAGAAAGTTTATGAAAGTTTCTCTTTTTATATTAGTATTATTTATTTTTAGATCAGGTAGTTTAAGAGGAATATTTTCATTTTTATTTGGTTTATGAAATAGGATGAATTTGGTTTTTTGACATTCAAGGAGAGTTTGTTACACCTGAACCACTCGTTTATTTCATGTAATTCTTTGTTAACTTTGTTTAAATGTCTTAATGTCTCTATGTGAATAAAACAAGTTGGAGTCATCCGCAAACAAGATTAAATTTATTAAGTTTGCTGATCATTTATATAGAGTAAAAATAATAATGGTCCCAAGATCGAGCCTTGGGGAACTCTGCAAGTTATGGCGCTATTTGTTGTTTTTGTTGTTTCATACTGAAAATATTGCTTTCTATTTGATAAATAATCTTTAAACCAATGTAAGTTATTATTTTTTACTCCATACCATTTGAGTTTTTTTAGAAGAATGATTTACAGTGTTAAAAGCTTTAAAAAGATCAATAAAAACTCCTAACGTAAAGCAATCATTACTAAAAGCATTAGATATTTGATTAACTAGCTCAATTATATCATGGTCAGTTGAGTGGTTTTTTTAAATCCAAATTGTTTACCGTATAAAAAATTGTTTTCTGTCAAATAATTGTCAAATAATTGTAAAGTCTATTATACATGACGCGTTCTAAACTTATATAGGTCTATAATTATCAAGTATCAAAATCATTTCCAGATTTAAAAATAGGGGTGACATGGGCAATTTTTAGTTTATCTGGGACAATGCCTGATTTCAGTGAAAGATCAAAGATGTGATGCAATGATGGTTCAATGATATCAAATACTGATTTTACAACAAAGCTACTGATATTATCAAAGCCCGCACTTTTGTTGTATTTTAGAATGTTTAAAGAGGATCGCAATTCATTAGAATCTAGAATCGTTTTTTTTTCATAATCTTTTCTGAAGTAAGGTTCTTAATCAAGTAAGAATGAAATGTTGCAGAACTCGACGGAATTTCCGCTGCTAATTTGTGACCTACATTAAATTTTTTTTTTAGATATTCAGCTATTTTTGTCTTATCACTGACTAAGGGTGGAATGCAAGAAACAAACTTGAGTTAAACTTTATTTTGTAACCAATAGCGGCAGAGTATTTTTTAAGGGGAAAACCCATACTCTGTCGCTATTGGTTATAATGTAAAGTTCAAGTCGAGCTTGACTTAACCCGACATGCATTTATTTTTAAAAGTTACGATCTAAATGTATTTTAAATGTCTTTTAAACGTCTTTTAAACATTAATGTTTAAAAGACGTTTAAAAGATGTTTAAAACACATTAAGAACGTAACTTTTAAAAACAAATGCCCGTCGGGAAGTTTGCTTCTTGCATTCCACCCTAACTTACCACCATCAATCGAAATTTTTTTTGGCAGGTTGCTTTTTGTACAGTTAATAGTACCGGTTATTTTTTAATCGTATTCCATGTTTTCTTAGCATTTCCATGTGTTTTTTTTTTAACAAATTTGAATAATAAAGCTTTTTTGAGCCTTCCCAACGGGCATTTGATGGTTTAAAATTGGTTTAGATCACGTTTAGATGGCATTTACGTTGATCTAAACGTTTAGGAACCTATACTAAACGTGTTCTGAATATTTAATTTGCGTTGAAAAGCTAAATCAAACGATTTCCGTACGGAATAAATTAGTTTCGCACAAAATGTGTCGGACATTTTGAATCTTTCATTATGGTAAAAAATTAGAATTTCTTATGAATCTTAAATTATGTAATAAATGGTTTAGAAAAGATAAAAGAAATTTGTTTTTAGTATTATACTGTGGTTAATGAGGCAGCTAAAAAGCCCTGTAAGTTCTTCGATAATGTTGTATAAGCGATTAAAAGTAATTTTAAGTACAGTAACTATGTATTTTGATAATTCTTTTAGTTATTGCTCTAATATAGCAGTTTCAAAAAAGTAGCAGCAGTTTCAAAAATGTATCAGTTTCAGCATTTTTTAAAATTATTTATTAAATTGTTTTTTCTGTTTGGTTTTTAACAACGCTATAGAACGTCTATAGTTAACTCTTAGCTTCCTAATTTTTCTACCACTTGCATTAATTTTTTCTAAAAGTTTTAGAGAAAAATTATGCATTTTAAATGGTAGTTACTTTTTAAATAACTAAACAAAATTACTATTTTTGTTTACATTAAGACCTAACATCTATTTGT